GATTTAGTTTGATGTAGAAGAAAATAAATTTATGTGCATTTTAATTATGAAACTGTTGTATAGTACCTGAGAACATGGGATCTACACTAGTGGTTCTTAACTGGAATAACTAACTGCCTCCCAGGGGACATTTAGCAACATCTGGAGACATTTTTGGTTGGAAGGGGCAAGTTGCTGACATCTGTTAGGTAGAAGCCAGGGAAGCTGCTAAACGTTCTACAATGAATAAGACAGACTCCCAATAATAAGAATTACCTTGCCCATAATGCCAACAGTGCTGAAGATGAGACACTGATTTAGAGCCAGCCTGTCTTGGCTTCAAGCTACTTATAATCTGGGTGGCGTTTGGCAAGCTACTTAACGTCTTTGCGCTTACTGAGTGTCTTCACCAATAAAATTACAGTATTCACCTTGTTGATTTTCTGTAAGAATAAAATAAATTAGCAATAAAGGAGCTAAGAAAAATGTCTAAAACAGGTATACACCAAATGTTTGGTTTTGTTATCATTATATGCATTGAAAAACGCTGAGAAGAAATACGCTAAAATTTTAGTAGTAGTTGTTCCTAGGTGACAAAGTGATAACAAATTTTTATTTTCATTTTACTTTTATACTGCTCTATATTTTCCAAAGTTTTGAGTACTATATTTGTATTTGATATGAAAAAAATGTACTCTTTCTCAGTTTTGTTTTTTTGGTACTGGGAATTTGAACACAGGGTGCTTTGCCACTGAACTACATTTCCAGCACCCCCTCCCTTTAAAAAAAATTTTTTTTAGTTGTTGATAGACCTTTACTTTATTTATTTATATGTATTGCTGAGAATCAAACCCAGTGCCTCACGCATGCCAGGCAAGTGTGCAACTGCTGAGCCCCAGCCCCAGCCCCCAGCCCCAGCCCTTTCTAAATTGCTTGCTGAGGTTGGCTTTGAATTTGCAATCTTCCTGCTTTAGCCTCCGGAGCCCCTAGGATTACAGGTATGCATCACCTTTCCCGGCTCTTTTTTTAATTTTTTTTTTTCAGTGCTGGGGCTCAAATCCAGGGCCTCATACATGCTTGGTAAACACTCTAACACTGAACTATATACACAGCCCTAAATTTTTTTTTTTTTTTGGTACCAGGGATTGAACTCAGGGGCACGTGGCCACTAAGCCACATCTCTAGCCCTATTTTGTATTTTATTTAAAGACAGGGTCTTGAGCTGGGACTGTAGCTCAGTGGCAAAGCGCTTGCCTAGCATGTGTGAAGCACTGGGTTTGATCCTCAGCACCACATAAAAATTAACAAATAAAATGAAGGCATTCTATCCATCTACAACTATAACAAAAATTAAAAATAATAATAATAAAAATAAAGACAGGGTCTCACTGAGTTGCTTAGCACCTTGCTTTTGCTGAGGCTGGCTTTGAATACTTGATCCTCCTTAGTCAGCCTCCCAAGCTGCTGGGATTACAGGCATGCACCATTGTGCTCCTAAAACATGTGTCCTTTAAAAAAAAAAAAAAAAAGCAGAAGAAATAATTTTATTTGTGACCTAGTAGGTAGAACACAGACTAAAAGAACTAAATTTAGATTATGGTTCTACTAGCTGTGTGATTTTAGGCAGGTTAGTTAACCTCTCTGAGCTTCAGCTTCCTCATCAGAAATCAGAGCCAATAATACATAGACAGAACCTATGAGCAGGAAACATGATAGACATCAGGTGCTGGGGAGAGTTTATTGAATGAAAGGCTCCAGGAGATGTTCTTTTCAAGGGAAAATTACCCTACAAATAGGGGGAAAGATTCATCACTGCAACTCCCCTTTTAAACTATCCTCTGTGAGAGGACAACTCCCATTTCATTCCATTTTTTTGCCATGGCTCACAGAAGAGAAACTACACCCACCCGTTCTGGTCCTTTTCTCTACTCCCTCCTCTCCTCACATTTACACATTAGGAAGGGATTTGATTGTTCCACTGGCAGGGCCTGACTCATTTGGCAGGGTGTATCAGCCAGCAAGTTACTATCTCTGAAAGGCAGAACCTAGCCATCACTTTCTCACATCCTTCACCCGGGCTCACCGCCCCCCTTATCTCCTCTTACACACCTGGCCTCCAAACCAAAGCACACTTGGCAAGGCCTCCTCAGGGAGAAGTCTCTCCACTATTTTTTTTTTCTCTCTCTCTCTCCTATCTTCTGGCCAGCTGGCTGAATAGGTTGCCCCCATTTAGATTCAAAAGGGTTGAGCAGGAAGCCCTGGTGTGCACTAGCCCTGCTCACTTGAGAGGTCCTGCATGTGTTCAGTGGGCACGTGGCTCTTGCCCAGCTGGTCTGTGCTCCCATCAGGGCTGTTGCTTCTTATTATGTGCAGTACATTCAGTAGGCAACACTGGAGGTGAAGAGGATGAGTGGTCATACATCCACACCCCTTGGGGCACTTGATGTCTGTCATGTTTAATCCTTATAGTAACCCTCTCTGATGTGCATTGTTAGCCCTGATTTTTGATTTCCAATGAGGAAACTGAAGGTCAGAGAGATTCACTAACCTGCCTAAAGTCACATAAACCCCTCTCCTTAAGGATTTAATTAAATGGGAAAAATAACAGAACAAAGGCTATTTTTGGTATGTTATCAGAAGGGTGACTATTTTAATCCTAGTTAGCTTGAATTCAAATCCTAAGCAAGCTTTTAGAATGTCCTGAGACAATACCTTCCATTCAGGTCCTATCTGCCATAGTTTGGGAAAGGTAGTGTGGTCCTAATCCATGCTGACATGTAGGATCCTAGAGAGAATTCCTGAGTTCTGCCATTTCTCTGGGCAGAAATCTGGGGACTGGAAGCCAGACTGCATTAAGAGAGGATGATATGGGGCAGGACCTCTCAAGACATTCACACTCAACCCAAGGTGAACTGTTTCAATGTTGGGAAATTGTGCCAGGCAACACACATCAGAGGAAAATGGGACTTTGGGAGGGTGCCTCCATCTAAATACAATAAAAATTTAAGAATATCATTCTAAGTGCAAAAGTACAAATAAAAATTTCAGGAAGATAAGGATCCCCAGGACAAAATTTATGGACACATCTTGACCTCTAGTTTGCTGCTCCAGGGCCAACCTAGCTAACATATATAAACTTCAAGCATAATTGAGACTGTTGCCAAGTTCTTAACTATACATTTGCCCGTTCATTGTCCTTCCTATAAACATATGCAAATAGAATAGACGTGATCACCAAACTGGCTGTAGTAGAACATTCTTCTTTCACAAGTTATACTGAAGCTTATCATACTTCAGGCTGCGCTACCATAGCATGAAAGTGTTACCTAAAAAAAAAAGTCAATATCATAGGGGACACAAACCTGAAGAGAAACACCTCACTCAGTGAAGAATTTCACAAATTTAAGATTCCTGTGCCTTTTCATCCTCTTTGAATCTTAGATGTAGCAACTTTTGTAATTTTCCCATAGCTTATAAGAATGAGATTAGTCATCTGTTATTACCAAGGGCGAGAAGGAAATTTACAAAGACCAAAGGGAGAAAAAATTTTTTTAATGTCAGAAATCTCCAACATTAAGAAATTAACAAATTTCTTCTTTTTATCCTTAAAAATCTAAATTAATTTCCAAAGAGAGCTCCATCCCCTCAAAGTATGCAATTATTTTAAAGCAATAAATCCAGTGAGTTTGACATCATAGCTTATGTGCATAATTTTGGAAGTTTAAATCTGTTTTAAGAACTAGGTAAGTGTTTTAAAGATAATATTCTTAGGCTGGGCTTGTTACTGTGTTCTGAGGATGAAAGACTGTTTCTAGGTTCAATTTTTTAAAAATCAACCTTGATGTAATTTCAGATTTCTTTTTTCCCCCCTCTTTAGACATCACTTGGTCACCATAGTAACATAGTGTTTTACTACCAGATATCTATACAACACAAGGGAAAGAACAGGCAATTACTTACTGGGTTATTTGGGGGCACAGAATGTGACTACTGGGATAATTCAAGATGAAATATAAATTTCACTGGGGATATGTTTTAGCCAGGCAAAATGATTTAATCTTCTAGTAGCATCAGCTGAACAAAATTTGTAGCCAAATAGACTACTGACATCATTTGAGATAATACAAACAGGCAAGCAACATAGCTCAGTGGTTAAGAGCATAGGTTTGGCGGTCAAGTTTCTTGGACCCAAATTCTAGCTTTACTATTTACTTAGCTGTGTGATCTTGCAAAAATTCCCTAACTATTCTGTGCCTCAGTTTCTTCATCTCTAAAATGTGTGCTGTAAAAATTAAATGATTGATTATGGTGTTTAGAATGGTACTTTGCCCATAGCAAGAAGTTTATAAGTATTTTTAAATAAACAAAATAAAAATTAAATTTCCTACTTCAGCTCTTTATGCTGGGTAGAAATAATCAGATACCAAGATTTGCGTTCATGGCAGATAATTTTAGCCTACAACTTTGGTAGATTCATTTGAGAACTTCCTCAGGGCTTTCTTGGTAGTAATTCTATAAGGTATAGAATTCTGTCCTCATCCAGAGCTGGGAACAATCACAAGTGCTCCTGTATCAAGAACATCAGAAAGCAGATGATGGCACAGCACAAAGGAACAGCACGACTGCCCACTCAGGCTCCCTAAGCTACTGCCAATAACCTCTGGGAACATGGGCAGAGAATAAGCAGCTGAAAAGGGGATGAGACAGGATTTTATTGTAGTGACAATGAAATCTAGTTGGTTTCTTTCCAGGATTCAAGAGAAAAAAAAATATTTTCATCAATGAGTGCTTCGTTTTATTATAAATTACTATACACAATTTCCATCCAGGCACTTACTCTGGAGGATTATTCATTTTACAGAACTAGCTAAGCATCTTTTCTAGACCCGTAACAAATCTAAAGCTCCTAAGGAGCATCTAAGCCAGGACAAAATCTCCAAATTCCCTGCAAAAAAAGAGAAAATATTATGTCCTCTGAGCAAAATTTTAGCTGTGATAACGGAGCGATCTCTATTACATACCTTCATCCGGACTTGATTTCTGAGAAGGTCTCCTTGGGTCTTCTTGGTCAGGCACAGACCTTGCATAGGAGTTTGGAGAATGCCATAAACCACCAGGAAATCTTGGGGACACGCTCATATCTGTCCTCTGCCTTCCCCTTGGCTCACAGCCTGCTTCCTGGTAGGGAGACAAGATGACGCTGTGCTGGGTAGACTGTTAAACCATCTTCCCGCCCCCAGCCCCACTCTCTGGGCGCCCCTCCCTTCTCCTTTCCAAGGCTCTGGAATGTGTCACATGGGAAATGGATCATGTGGCTCAAGGGGAGAATGTGGCCATCTTCTCCTTCCCTTCCCCCACTTTTCCTTTCAGCTGCGGAAATCTCTGACCTGATTGGCTCCTACCAAAAATCTCCATATGAAAAGGGGAAGATTCAACTACCCAAACCTCCAGCTTTCTCTACTTTCTTTTTTTTTTTTTTTCATCCGACAATTTCATCTTGAGCATGCAGAGCTGCTTGGTCTGGGAGGGAAATGATGCTTTCTCGCCAATCTTTCTTTTTCTCTATCACCATCAGTATCCTGACATGGCAAGGTGTTCCTTAACTCCCCTATGGAGCCCCCTTAGCACAGCTGGGACAATCGAGTGTTCAGCACCACGGACAGCATTACAACCCATTCAGCACTCGTTAAAGTCATTTGTCCATTTCTTTCTCAGGTAAATAAAAATATTTCAAAATATTTCCCTGAGGTCTTCTATGTAAATATAAATTATACCATATATTTGGCATTCTGACTTCCTCTACTGTCAACTTACTTATAAACTTACCTTATAAACATAATTTTTATTTCTTTAAACCCTACCCTTTAGATATACTGTTTTTGTTTTCTTTTTCATTTTGGAGGAGAATAGAAGGTGGATTTTCATAACCGTTTTACTATATGTCCATATCTCTATGCTTATGGGAAAAACCATAACAACAGAGGAATTCTTGGGTGTAAAAGCCCAGATATCTTTAGCCCCATCCCTAGGCCTCAGGCAAGGCTGAATAGAGGCAGGATGCAAGCCTGGCTTGAGCTGTTTTGTGTGGGTCTATCCTGCTTTGCTGACGTCCTGGTTGCCATGGTGCTAGGTAACTGCTGAAGGGGATGATTTCTTTCAAAACCAGTCACCATGGGACCCTGATGACTAAAGAAAGGAACAAGGAAAAGGCTGAATTGCTGAGAGGGCGTTCAATTAGTATTTTCAGAACCAAATTTACCTAATGGGACCTTTCCTTACTGAATTGTTGCTGACCCTAAATATTGAAAGGATTCTGGGAATCAGTATGAACACTGAAATGTTAACTCCTCCCATCCTCCCGTTGCTTCCATCTAGGTGCAACTGAATGAAAATGCCAGCCTTGTAGAATGATTGTGGAGTGTCATCATAGAGTGGTGGGAAGAACACAAGAGAGGTACTTCTCTTTAGGTTAGGACTTCTGACTTTTGGGGAGCCATTCATCTGAGTCCAAACAGTCTTAATTGACAAATACATTAGAATCAAACCTCCTAATTATTGATACTTGAAACAGTTTGCAAATGCTTTACAATTTTAGGAGAAAATGAAAAATAGTTTTGAATATAAATTGTTAAGTTATTTTAAATAAATATAAATTCAATAATTGGACAGCATTTGGATGACCCCAAATCAGGAATTTAAACTAGGTAAAAACTTGTTTCATAAGGTTGGCATATAACTAACTGCTTCTGAGATTCCAAATAAAGGCAATTATGACTATTGATGTTTTGGAGGAGAAATGCTAACATACAATGTGCATAAATGCAAACTTTGTTAAAAGAAAGGTGGCAGAGAGGAGCTGGAGTGTAATTTTAAGACCTTGACTCAACATCCATGGTTTAAGATATTGATATTTCTTATTTTTATTTTAGAAGAGTCAAGTTAATTCTAGTTTTTCTATATAAGACTCAAAGAAATTTAAGTCTTAATTCTGACATTTGCCACTTTCAGAAAATCCACTTATCAAGAAAGCTATATGCACAGCCAGGCCTGGTGGCACACACCTGTAATCCCAGCTACTCAGGAGCCTAAGGCAGGAGAATTGATAGTTCAAGGCCAGCCTGGGCAATTTAGTGAAAGTTTGTTTCAAAATAAAGAATAAAAAGGGATGGGGCTGAATTCAGTGGTAGAACACTCCAGGTTCAATTCCTAGTACCACAAAAAAAAAAAAAAAAAAAAAAGAAGAAGAATAAGAAGAAGAAGAAGAAGAAGAAGAAAAGAAAGAAAGAAAGCTAGATACAAATGTTAAGAAATTCTTAGGGCAACCCCTATTGGGTCCTCTCTTGCCCTGCCTCTTTTCTTCTCACTTGAATAAATCCTACTCCTTAAAAAAGAATCTTAAAAGTCAGCAGGCTGGTGACTTGAATATCACCTCCTCACTTGGTCAAATAATAATAACAATAAGAACAACTAATATTTTAACACGTGCCAGGTATTTACATACATGGTGTCCCTAATTGTCCTATCAACTCAATGAGAGGAATTATTATAAATATTTCTGTTTTACAAATGAAGAAACTGAGGCTCAAGAAAGCTAAGAAGCTGCACAGTTTTAGGGTGAAAGCTAGGACTTGGAAACATCTCACCTACTACAGAGGAGGCACAGTGTACTATACTATTCTTTATCATGAATAAATTAGACTAAAATAATGGGTCAAATTAATGCAATATGATCCACTACTACAGGCATTTGATAGGAGAAATCTCAAATATCTTTTGAAATTATTTGAGACCAAAGAAGAAAAAAAAAAGAAAGAAAATAAGAAAAAAAATTATTTCTCTCTTTTAAGATGATTGCATATATCCATAATGGTTTAATGACAGAATAATAAAAAAAATTTACAGGGTGTCATAATCTAAAATACTGTAAGGATGGCTATAAAACATGTTATATAATTGTACTAATTCTGTGTGTGTGTGTGTGTATATATATATATATATATATATATACATATATATATTTTACACATATATATACACATATATATACACATATATATATTTTACCTTATTTTATTTTTGTGGTGCTGAGGATGGAACCCAAGGCCTCACACATGCAAGACAAATGGTCTACCGCTCAGCCCCAGCCCCAGCCCCACTAATTCTGTTTTTAAATGTTTAATTTGTAGATAGTTGTTTTCTATCCAAACCCACAAAACCCCACGACACTTGAAGAATTGAGGTATCTCTAAAAAAAAAAAAAAAGAATGTGTGTGTGTTTTTCCCTCCTTGGCCTAGGGAGTCTAGTTGCCTTTGAATAGTGTGGCACTGTTTGAAAGTTACAAAAGGAATAGAGGGAAAAGGAATTAATATTTGCCTTCTGAAATTTAAAATAGGAGCAAAATAGACTTGAAATCTAGTCTTGACTAAATTCCTTTATTCTGCCCTTGGCTTGTCATCAACCAAATCTAGATGTTGCTCACAGTTTTTTTAAAAAAAATATATGTATTTTTTTAGTTGTAGATGACACAATACCTTTAAAAATAAAGGTATTTATTATTTTTATGTGGTGCTGAGGATCTAACCCAGTGCCTCACGTGTGCCGGAGGAGTACTCTACCACTGAGCTCCAACCCCATCCCCGCCACAGTTTTTTGTATAGTAAAGCTACATCTTCATGCAAAACTTTCCAAAGGGTGTCCAAAGAGTACAGACAGTCTTATGGGAACTAATTTCAAGATCCTCAGTGTCCACAAGCACGCCTTCTGGAACTGCTTTTCCTGAGAACTGGTGCAGTCAGGACACCATGCTGCTCTCAGTCTCCACTCAGTAGTTTTTCTTCCATTTTGCCATAGAATGTCAAACCTCTCACCACTGTTACCTCAAGCCCCACAATGGTGCATTCTTTGAACTTGCAAACCTCTTGAGGACCCAACAAAAGAACAACTGGAAATATTGGGGATGGTTTTGAGAAAGTAAATGGCTCCAATAATTGGGTAACAAATCCTTTTAGAAGTAAGGAAATTTCCAGTTGCTTTAAACAAAATTGAAAACCAACTTCTATTCAACTGTCCACTGAGAAATTCATTAAAATGGTTTTCTTTTTGAAAAGCTCTTTTTTTTTTCTTAACAGAAGAATGTCAGCTAATAAATGCAATTTTATAATCAGAACACCATTTTTATAGCCTCCTATAAAATAACTGATTCAGGTAAAGATCATGATGGGTAATCAAATCATTAGTGTAAAGTAACTGCCTGAAGAAATGAGAAATATTTTTTAATATTTATTTTTTAGTTATAGATGGACACAATGTGTTTATTTTACTTAATGTGTTGCTGAGGATCGAACCCAGTGCCTCACACATGCTAGGCGAGTACTCTACCTCCGAGCCACAACCCCAGCCCAAGAAATGATAAATATTTATGGAGACGCAAATGCTAATTATCCTGATGTGATTATTGCACATAGTATACATATATTAAATTATAATACTCTTCCCCACTAATATGTATAATTATTATATATCAAAAAGTTATTGGGGAGCAGGTTGTTTACAAATTATTTAGAAAGTACAAAGGGAAATGTATTGTTTTCCATGGAAAGATTGTTGGGTGGGGGGTTACCATCTTAAACAAGTGACCAAATTTCACATCACTAATAATGGAATAATGTAAACTTAAGCCTGATGTGAAAGGATGTGATCTATTCAACATTACTGATGAAGTACTCTTTTAAAAATGTTTACCCTGAATCTGATCAAATACTGATACATAATATCTTTTTTTTAAAGGCAAGTAGACAGACAAGTTAAAAGACACCACAAGGAAATAATTAGTCAAATTGAGAATATAGAATATATAAGAGAGCTAGCCTAGAATCATCTAAAAGCCAACATCATGAATAAGGTTGCCTACCACAATGAGTTACCTCCATGCTGAGAGGAGTGTTTGAGGCAAAGGATCTCTTCCTTTCGGGACTACTGTCCAACTCCCTCATACTTCATCCCTGAATTTTTTATGGTCATTTGGGCCAATGGCAAGTTCCACAACAGCATGATCAAAAAGAGATAGGGTAGTCAATTATCCCAAGCCTTCCCTGTTCCTTTGAAACATGGATGCTGAATTAACAGCCAGGAGACTATAAAAGCTAAAGCTAGGTGACCCCATACCAGTGGCCAGTGGGAAACAAGTCTGCAGAAGGAGGTGGTTTGTGCTCCCTAGGAGATTTACC